TCCATCCCGTGGAGCTCCCAAGCCCCTCCCCAGCAGCCTTGAGCCCCCTTCCCCATCTGAAGCCAGAGGATTCCCCCCCCAAGCTGTGGAGTTTTTATAGCATGTTGGGAGGGCCTCCCAAAGCAAAAGGTTGAGAACCCTTGTGTTAAACAAAGTGCAACAATTTGCATCAGGAGTATGTGAAATAAGAACTACTGGAGTAGCAAACCAGGGCCTGATTCTGCCATATTAACTCATGGTGAGCAGTATCTTACTCCATTGATTTCAATGTATCTACTCATGTAACAGTGTGGGTAAAGATGCCAAAATCTGGCCCTAAGAAGTAAAGAAATAATTTTCTCCTTCCACAGTTAGAGGTATCATGCAGATTAATCTGGGTACCTGAATAATCCGAAGCCTTATTTTGGAAACATATTCCTCACATAGGCCTCCATCCTGCTCCTGCTGAAGTCAAGGTGTTTTGCCCCTGATTACTGTGAGCGGGAGAGGGCCTCTACTGTGGAAAAGCAATTACACATAATCTACATACACAATAGTATATTATCTTGGCGGGGGAGGGGAGAGAGTTGGAGAGGGTTGGCATCTGGTTAAAGAGCAGTCCTTTGTTCTATTTTATTAAGTTGTTTGCTCAGTTTCTCACATATATTTTGTATTGTAATTATGGTTTATTTCCCTTAGGGCTGTTCAGAACATTGGTTCTGATGCTAATAAAGTATCCCAGAGACAGTATCAGAGGATGAAGAATGAATGGAAAATGGCCAAAATTGCCTTGATTGTCATCTTACTTTACGTCATTTCCTGGTCACCATATTCTGTTGTAGCTCTGGTGGCTTTTGCTGGGTAATTATAAATATATTAGCAAGAAAAAAATCAGTGAGCCCAGAAGGTGTGAAATTCTAAAAGAAGCAAATTATGAAAGGCCAAGTACTTGTCAACTCTAATGTTCAACAATGGGAATGGGAAACCTTCACATATTCAGGAGTAATCGTTTGTTACAGATTTGATAAACGGAGCACATGCTGGTTGTAATTTTTCTCAGTTTGATTTTTCAGCACAAAAAAGCTAATTATTGGCAATACATGAAATCATGCTAATTAATTCTAAAATGAAAGTTTCACAATGCTAAAATATTTGAACATGACCATATGGCTATTCCAGGTTTCAGATACATAGCTTGTTTTGATTTATTTTCTCTGGGCCTGATTATCCACTCACTTACACTAGTCTGATGCTGGCATAAATCCATTGGCTGTAGTGGAATTATCACTCATTTACAACAGTGTAAGTGAGCTCAAAATCAGGCCCTATATCTGGCATTACTGGCTTTAGTTCTTTTAGTGCTGCACTGAAAAGTAACAATGGATGACCTAACCTTAAATATATTTTAAACAATCCTAGACTATGTTGCTTTTCTTCCACCTATTTAACTGTCAGCATTTTATACTATCTCTTTCAATAAAGACATAATGTCCATTAAAAAAGAGTACCATTAATATGGACTGGTTAAGAGCAAGGGATTAGAAGTCAGGACTCCTGGGTTCTATTCAGGCTCTGCCCCTGATTTAATGTGTGACACTGAACAAGTCACTTAACCATCCTGTCCTCCATCTACCTCCATCTAAATAGATTGAATAACTTAAAGCACTTTGACGTCCTCAGGTCAAAGACCCTATACAAGTGCAAAATAAAATTAATACTTGCTCTAACCCACCACTGCCTTACTTATAATTTTCCAGTCATCTGATGAGAAATGTGCACCTGAAACTTAACAACCAATACAGGATAAAACTGACTGATAGAGTTTATGAGAACCAAGGCAGGAGTTATTGCAGACACTAGGAAGCAGAAAACTGCCTTTGTCCTCTCCTTCAACCTTTTCAGTTTGAGGCTGTGCCTTTTTGTTCACATTGGGGGCCACTGTGGCTTCTCAGGGATTAATAGACCAAGTCCCAAGGCCTTATGTTGACTTTACCTTGACAGCATTGTCACATACAGCATAGATTAAGAGACAGACCTAGAAACTGTGGGTACAGTCTTGAAGTCACTGAGGATGGCTGGTCTGATAGACCAACAAAATGTGCAGTAGCAAAGAATGAAACCTAATATCTACAGTACATGCTGTGAGAGGGGAAGATTTAGCTGACATGATACATGCTCAGTAGGACTGTTGCACTCCAGCCACCATGACACAGGTGCTGTTTTTCCTGTGTCTGCCCAGCAATGACAGAAAGTTTGTGTCACTGTTTACCTCACTGACTGCACTATTGACTAATCTTACCAAAGCATGCGTCCCCTGAAAGGTTTCTATGACCTTAAAATGGGAGACAGCATTCCAGGACATCCTGTGTCGCCAGCAAGTACTATGTTCTCCAAGGAATTCATCCTCCAGATCAATGCTCTAGGGGTAGGGGTAGGGGCCACACTGTCTCAAGAACTGCAGGACAAAAAACACTCTTTGCTCTGGAAACTATCACCAGAAGTGAGTCTTAGGTTAGTGCTGGTAGGAATGCCTGCAGTCAACTGCCCCATGAAGACACTCCAATATTATCTGCTGGGGACCCATTTCCATTTGGTCACAGAACACACACTTCTCCGTTGGCTGAATGTGATGGAAAACTCCATTCCAAGGATGATGAGCTGCCACCTGACTCTGCAGCCCTGTTCCTTCTTGGTGCAGCAAAGCATTGGGGCACACCATAAAGCCACAGGCAACTTTCCCTGGGAGAGAGGGAAATGATTCTACACAGTGTGCTGCTATTCCCACTGCTGAAGGAAAGACCCACTGAGGGCCTGGTTGATGCAAACTGACCCTGCAATATTACTGCTGTTTAAGTGTAGGTTCCACTACTGACTTTATTTTTATCAAGACAACCTGAACAGGGCCTGACCTGGTCTGTTAAAGGGGTGGTACCAGCTAGCAGCACTTCCACCATCTCCTCTAAACATACATGTCACGTGATGAAGACCCTGCAAACGCTCAATAAAACCTAAAACTACCCTCCACTATATGAGGATTCTTTGACTTTGGTTCACAGCTTTAGGTAGGTAAAGTCGAAGTGTGGGTGGGAAGCTGATTTATCAGGCACTCTCATGTTAGCTGCTTTTCATGCAACACCTTCTTCCCTTATTCAGCATACCTGTTAAATGCCTTACAGCTCTTTTCTGACCAACTTACACCACCATTTGGGTCACTAATGAATTTAGCCCATACACTCCAAAGGAACAGCACTTGCTTATTCCAGGCTGAACTTGTCCCTTGGTCTTTACCCTAGTGTAAACAATTTGGGATTAGCTTGTAGCTTGCTTAAGACACAACCATGAGTAGTATATGGTACACAGCAGCACTAGTAAAGAGGAGCACCAAAGAGATTGTGCCTCTCTGAAGCACAGTCTGGCACTGATTCTTGAATAAAATGACTATGAAATCTGTCCCATACACTAGGTTGAAAAAGAATGTTCCTTGACGGTATGTCGGTCCTGCTCCTTGCCCCTCTTATTTCATCCTACTCTCCTGGGGGAGGAGGAAGGGAGGGAGAGCAGCAGCAGTAAAAAGCAGTCCCTGCACTCTGTAACTAATTTTTGTTTTTTTACTGTGTGCTGACTGTGCAGTAAAAAATAACAACTTTGCATTTCTTTAGGTATTCCCATCTCCTGACACCCTTTATGAACACCGTACCAGCTGTGATTGCCAAAGCTTCTGCCATCCACAACCCCATCATTTATGCCATAACTCATCCCAAATACAGGTAAGGTTGCTCTCTTCAAACACAAATAACATAGCAAAGAAAACCAAATCTATCTCTGATAAAACGTTCACTGATTCATTGAATTCCCTTTGTATGCTAGTGCCTGAGCTCTGCTTCATCTTCTTGTTTTACCGTTATGCTGTTTTTTTTACCTCTGCAAGCGTGCATGAAGCCAAAAAAGAAAACAGAAAAAGCAGTTTTGAATGCCCTATAAATGTCAGTGGAGTTTGTACTCAGAACAAATTACCATGCAGATGGGAGCTAGAGACATTTATGGAAGGGTGATAGCTGTACTCATTGATCATCTGATAAAGGTTAGGGACCTTCTCTGGGTAAAAAACAAGTTTTATGGTGTTTTGCTTTGAAATATTTCCTTGGGAGATGTACCCATTTGTCAATGTTGCAAATAGCAGTTTGTCAAGTTACCCAAACCAATGAGAGTTGGAGTTTGGTAAATGGCTCCATTTCTTTCATGTGTTGTGGGCTTCCTGTTCCTCCTTCATGCTTCCATTGTTCAGGCATCGAATAATTGTTTTTTAGTTGTAACATCCAGGTCAACCCCAGGTCAAGTTCAGACGAGGGACATGTGATATGAACAAGCACGGCTAAGCCATGCAATATTACTTCTCCCCTTTCAAAAGCATTCTGGGAACTATGGAGTGAGGAAAAGAGCAGTGTAGTAAAAATGATCCCTCCCACCCCATCTAGAAAGAACAGTTTGCTTTAGCGTTTATACCACCACACCGATACTACGTGAGCAGATGCCCAGGAGGAAGTTAGAATAGCTGCTTAAGGAGAGATTAAAATAATTCTCTATGCGGTAATTCTGCATAGTTCACTTTAAAGGGCCAGAAGCTTTATTTTTATCCCAGTTAATCTTTAAGCAGATAAAACATTTTAATAGCTGGTTTCAGTGAAAAAATTACATTTTAATATTCTTCTCCTTGCCCAGCAATGTCAGTAGTAAATTCTGACTCAACAGAATGCTGTAAAGCACTCATGTGTCATTTCTTTAAAATTATCTTGTAGATCAGTTGCACACAAAGCAATATCTGAAATCTGGGAAACTTTAACTACTGTACCCAGTAACTTTTCAGTCTATGCAGCATGTGTCTGTCTGAATAAATTTAATGTTTATGGTGAGTGGCTTTTTGTGCTGGCAGCTTTATTTAGGCAGAGGGAATTGACTGGTTCTATTTTTTTATCCACTAGAATGGCCATTGCAAAGTATGTGCCGTGCCTTCGACCCCTGCTAAGAGTTTCTCGTAAAGACTCCAAGTCTTGCAGCAGGTATCTCTCAACCAGACGATCCACTATTACCAGCCAGTCTGAGATAAGTGAACTGCAGAAAGGAAAGAGATGGCAATCCTCTCTCTCAGACAGTGAATCAGTAAGGAAAACCCTTTAGATATGTTTATTTTTAAAAAGCAAGTAAATAATTTTCATACGGCATCCTTCAAAGTGGTAGGTAGATTAGATGAAAAGATGCGTTATGGTGTTAGGTACAGAGGCGCTCTGGTGGGGAGGCGGGTAATTGTTTGGGGATAAAGCAGAATTTTTAAAAGGAAGATAAAGTTTAAAAGCAGGATGCAAATAATGTAGATATTCTTACAGGTTTGTGACTCTCATGGGAGATTGGAAAGATTCACTAATAGGAAGACAAAAAGTGAATGGGACTTAGTGTGTGGTGCTTCACTTACCACAGATCTGGAACTTAGACACTTAAAAGTGAAACTGCAGTTCCCAAGTAGTGCTTGGAGGGAGACAAGGTTGTAAAGAAAGAGCCAATGTGCTTTCTGAATGTGAAATGGGCTGCATTTAGAAACAGATTATTTGGCAGATTTAGACAGATCAACAAAATCCATCACAGAATAATTTTTCCAGAAGACCTCAAACGCTTGCTGCTGCCAAACTAAGTATTGCTAAATGTTGTTTCTGCATGGTAGCCAGAAGCAGGTCAGATTTCTGGAGTCCACGTCTCTTTCTAGGTTATTAATGGCACATTAGTGTTCTATTTTCAACCATTTTTATACGATTCTTAAAATGGAAAAATGCCATTATGTTCTATGTGAGTGTTCATGTTTTCAAGCTAATATCCTTTCAGTTGATGTAGTTAAGCTTTGAATTCTGACAGTTACTTTTAACTATAATTTTTTTCCAACTTTTTTTTAATGTTGTACTTCTGACTTATCAAGCCAATCAAAATTAAACCCATCAGACTAAAAGACATTGTTCAACTTGAATGTTTTGAAATCCGCTAACTGTTTCTGACAAAACACCCTTTAAATGATGTAACTTGAATTTTTAAAAAAGAAATACTCCTTCAAAACTATTAGTACGCTTTCCCACTCCTCTTCTCTACTACCCTGCTGATATAAGGGTTTTTCACCAAGGGAGAAATCTAAGGCCTGCATTCTGCAATCAGATTTGCCCCAGTCAGACACTTGCAGTCATGTAGATTGAAGCCTGGCTATGCAGGGAAAATAGTGAAACTGACAAACTGCTGTCAAATTCTCAAAGTATATCAATTTTAAAGCATCAGTAACCTTAGGTCTGCTTTGGAACTATAGTAGATAAAAAATTTTCAAACAGAAATATTATCTCCCCCCCAGGCTGGGTCCTTTAAATTGTTAAATTGAACACATCATACCCCGATTTCATTAGGAATTCTGACTCATCACTAATTTAGTAGGAAGTTGAAGCTTGTCACACATACCTTTCTCTAAATACTGACATTCAAGGGGAAAGCAGGGTATGACTTTAAGACAGAATTTGGCTAAATATTGTTTGACAACTTTTTCCTTAATTAATATGTTTGATCATCACATGCAAAGCCATGAAACCAGGAGTTTCCTTTCCCCAGACATGTAGAATGCAAAAAGGCAGAGCAAAAACGTATTTTGTGCCCAGGTTGGTCAATCAAGTTATAATTGGCTCTAATTTAGCACACCCACAAGCAGTTAAATTCTCTATCTACAACTTACTTGCACTCAAAAGGGCACAATTTTTTTTCATGCCTTTGAAAAATCTCAAGGAAAATAATTTCCAAACAGATCTTTGCAGTAGAAAGTGGCCAACTACAGCAGTACAAGTAGGGACTGGCTTTACAAAACAAAACTAACTCATTTTATAGCCAACTGATCCAATGCAGGTGGTAATCATTAAATCCATTATATATGTAAAATGTGAAGTATAGAATGTGTGATGTTTCACCATTAGGGTAAAAACAGAACAAAACTGGTGACAGAACCAAAAAGACATTGAAGCAAATTCAGCCCCATCGGAAGCAGATGCAAATTCTGTTAAAGTCAACAGAATCATTTCAGGGCTGACCTTCCTTTAGATGGTCTGTATCCTTTTGATAAAAACGTATATCAAGGTTTTTATGCAATTTTGAACAATGGTCCCATGAAAAGGTCTCTTATGTGTCTACTCTTTTTTATTCTAACATGTACCCATTTAAAAGGACATTGTCAAGGTATTTTTAAAACATATCTTCTCACAATTGCTTATAACAAACTTCCTAGAGCTTGGGAGTGAATCTATGTCCTAACTAGTGTTACCCTTTATTAATATTTGGTTTGTTGTTGTAGGGCTGCTTCTGAATGCTTGCTATATACACTTTTCTTTCTTTGTTTTCTTAAAATACACTCTCTCTTGCACTCTCTCACTCTCCCAATATAAGGAACAATTAGAGCGGGTAGAAAACAAGAATTTCTGTCTTGTAGAAAATTCTGATATTATGACATTTTAAAAAAAAATCAAATCTTTTCATGGAATGAAAAACTCCAAAACATTTTCCAGTTGTGAAATGTCAAAACATTTTGATTGACATTAATCTCTGCTTCCACCCGAGCTGCTGTGATGCCTCATGGGAGTTTTAATTCTGGGTCCCTCATGCCCTCATTCTTCCCAGAGGATGCTGCTTCCTGGCTGGACTATATTTCTCCACATCCACACCATGGAAGTTTCAAAAAAACTGACAGGAAAACTTGATCAAAATTTTTCAACCAGCCCTAGAAAAATATGTAGACCAAGTTTTAGGCTTTCCAACCTTTACAGTGTTGCTTGCACTATTCTAAAACTTTTTGGGTGTATGATGTTGTGTATAATCAGCTGTTTTCTTTGAAATGTCTTTCTTATGGTCTTTTCCCTTTATGAAACATGTCCATGTAAAATGTAACTTCATGTTATTGGCCAGAGTAACTGGACCCAAAAGCAACCTAAAGTGCTTGTTTCCTATGTATTCATTGCAGGGCTGGACTGATACAGAAGTTGATGTTGTTAGTGTGATCTCCAGACCAGTCAGTAAACAGCTTTCCTATGAAATAGGCAAATACGCTGTTGAAACCAGTGACACAAAAGCCAAATCTAAACTGAAAAGCCATGATTCTGGGATTTTTGAAAAGGTAATAGATACTGTGCACCATACAAGCCTTCAAACAGCCAATGAGTTAACAAATCTGCATATTTTTTCATAATTAGAATAGAGACATAGAAAGGTAGGGCTGGAAGGAACCTCAAGAAATGATCAAGTCCAGCCCCCTGCACTGAGGCAGGACCAGGTAAACCTAGACCATCCCTCACAAGTATTTGTCTAACCTGTTCTTAAACGTCCAGTGATGGAGATGCCACAACTTCCCTTGGAAGCATAAGTACCGACTCCGTGGGGTGCTCCGGGGGTGCTCCCTGCGCCTTCCATCTGCCACGATCAACTGTTCAGAGGTGTATAGGAGGTGCTGGGGGAGAGGGGAAGGAGCAGGGGCAGGAAGGGGGGGAAGGAGCAGAATGGGGCAGGAAGAGTCAGTGCAGAATGGGCTTAGTAAGAGGTGGGGTGTGGGTGGGAACTTGGGGGAAGGTGTAGAGTGGGGGTGGGGCCTGGTGCCGAGTGGGGGTCCAGCACCCCCGGGGAAATCACAAAGTCAACACCTCTGCTTGGAAGCCTATTCCAGATCTTAATTACTCTTATAGTTAGTTTTTCTTAATATCTAACCTAATTCTCCCTTGCTGCAGATTAAGCCCATTACTTCCTGTCCTACCTTTAGTGGACATGAAAAACAATTGATCCCCATCCTCTTTATCACAGACCTTAACATATTTAAAGATTGTTATTTGGTCTCCCCTCACTCTTTTCTCAAGATTAAACATGCCCAGATTTTTTAACCTTTCTTCATGGGGAAGGTTTCTAGAACTTTTATCATTTTTGTTGCTCTTCTCTGGACTCTCCAGTTTGGCTAAATTGTTCCTGCAGTGTGACGCCCAGAACTGGACACAATACTCCAGCTGACACCTCACCAGTGCCGAGTAGGGCAGGACAATTACTTCCTGTGTCTTGCATATGACACTCCTGTAATATACCCCAGAATGATGATAGCCTTTTTTGCAACTGTATCACATTGTTGACTCCTATTCAATTTGTGATTCACTATAATCCCAGTCCTTTTCAGTACTACTGCCACCTAGAACAGTGGTTCTCAAAGCTGGTCTGCCGCTTGTTCAGGGAAAGCCCCTGGCAGGCCAGGCCGGTTTGTTTACCTGCCGCGTCTGCAGGTTCTGCCGATTGCGGTTCCCACTGGCCGCGGTTCGCCGCTCCAGGCCAATGGGGGCTGTGGGAAGCAGCGCGGGCCGAGGGATGTGCTAGCCGCCCTTCCCGCAACCCCCATTGGCCTGGCGCGGCGAACCGCGGCCAGTGGGAGTCGCGATCGGCCGAACCTGCGGACGCGGCAGGTAAACAAACTGGCCTGGCCCGCTAGGGGCTTTCCCTGAACAAGCGGTGGACTGGCTTTGAGAACCACTGTTCTAGGTGGCAGTAGTACTGAAAAGGACTGGGATTATAGTGAATCACAAATTGAATAGGAGTCAACAATGTGATACAGTTGCAAAAAAGGCTA